CATGAACCAGTTTCACCTTCATGAAACCTATTTCATGTATATTAATTTTCTTATTTCACCCCTGATTTGATGAATTCAATTCTTTAAGCCTTACAATCTTCAAGATTCTGGAGCAGATTACAATCTTCAAGATTCTGGAGCAGATTCATCATGTACCCGTTTCATCATGCAATTGTTTCATGACGAACCAAATACATTATGCACCTGTTTCACTGCTCATGGTTCAATGACGCCATGAACCAGTTTCATCTTCATGAAACCTATTTCATGTACATTAATATTCTTATTTCACCCCTGATTTGATGATTTCATTCCTTTAAGCCTTACAATCTTCAAGATTCTGGAGCAAATTCATCATGTACACGTTTTATCATGCAATTATTTCATGACGAACCAAATACATTATGCACCCGTTTTATTTTCCATTTCACCTACTAAATTGATTAACTACAGCATCGATGAAACGGGGTTCACCATGAAACCCGTTCACTACTCATTGTTCAATTACGACATGAACTAGTTTCATCTTCATGAAACCTGTTTCATTTGTATTAATTTTTTTTCAATCATGATTTGATGAATTCATTCCATTATGTCTTACAATCTTCAAAAATCACCAGTAGATTTAATATCATCACAATATATCAAGTCCAAATTTTTAATATTATAATATAATTAAATATTTAAATGTTACCAATTATAAAATTTTCTCTATTACGTTTCCTTAATTAAGATTTATTAATAATTTCCATATTTAATATAAAATATTGTAAATGACCGAAATACCCTTATTGATTAAATTTAATTAGAAAAACAATGGAATTTTTCTATTGGTCGAAATTAGTTTACACGGTTTCTTAGAAATGCACGGTTTTCATTTGAACGTGCCTCTACATACATACATACATACATACATACATACATACATACATACATACATACATACATACATACATACATACATACATACATACATACATACATACANCATACATACATACATACATACATACATACATACATACATACATACATACATACATACATACATACATACATACATACATACATACATACATACATATATTCTATTATTCAACATAAATAACATTTAGGATTGTTGAAATGTTGTCTAAACACCCACAATTATTAAAAAACATACAAACAACCAACAATTATCGATTATCCCTTATTCAAGAGAGTATCCAGACGACACCTGATAGAATGAAGAGTGAATTACATCATTGGTCCTTATGTTATGCCTCGATCTTTTTTTGGTCTCTAAAATGCATGATGTACAACGATAGTCCTTAGTTGTGTTCTTTATAACAGATTGGTCCATCGATTTTAATATTGTTAATTGGTGGTCCATTAGTCACTCCCATGTGCCCCTCACGTGAGGGGAAAGTCGTTCCCTTTATCGATCTTCTTCCTTCCCACCTCCTTCTTCCTAAACGCAATAAACATTCACTATTGGCTGCCATGCTACCACCCTTTAAGAATCCAAGTTCATAATCAGATTAATACACAATCATAACTTTACATTATCATTTTATTTGCAGATTTTTCAACATGATAAAAACAAAAACAAAATCCAGATGAAGATGAAGATCAATATTTACAAAACAGAATTGATACATACTTACATCTATGTGAATTAGATGAACACAATGAGCTAAATCTAAACAAAATAAAATAAACATGAACAAAACCAAAAACCAACTCCCAATTCATAGAAATCAAATTCATATACAAAAAGTGAAGTAAGCCTAGATCTAAATAAAAACAAGAAAACCCCAAAATCATAATTGAATTATATGTCATCAAAACTCTAAATCAAAAGATCAAAACCCTAAACTCCACCTTCTACTTCATCTTCTTTTACTTTGAATCGTAGGGTGCTTTGAATCATGTGGTGAAGAGTTGTTTTGAAATTCACAAATAGGGCACCTTCAAGCGTTTTTCTCTTACAAATTAACACGAAATTTAGGTTTCCGTTTCTGTCGTAGCATTTAGGTAATCTCCTTTCACTGCGTCAACTCCATATGCTCAATCTTCTTCACTCCCGGGAACCCTAATCACCATGAAAAACAACACCTCATTATCCAGAGTCGGCCGAGTTTTCACTTATGCGTCCCCTCGTAGACTAAAGTAAAAATGGAAACTAAAGCCAAGGGGTTTTTTGCTAGGGTGGGGAAGGCAATCAAGAGGGGTTTCTCTAGAGAAAGGGAAGGTGGTGGGAGGATTTTGCTAGAGATATTAAATGGGTGGGAGTGGGGTTCACAGAGTTGGGAGGGATTATTATATATATATATATATATATATATATATATATATTTTTTTTTTTTAATTTATTTTATACTTATAGTATAAAAAGTTTAATTCTTTTTTTTTTTAAGTTGAAATGACTAATTTGACTATGATAAAAGGTGTATATGATAGATTAATGGCCTTTGATGTAACGTGCTAACTCGAAAGACCAATTTATTGTGAAAAAACATAAAAAAAATACAACTAGTGCACTTGATTGATTTTAGGGACCAAACTTGATCGAGACATAAACATATGTACCAATGATGTAATTCACTCTAGAATGAATGTAAAACAAAAACAAATTAAAATGTAGTTGAAGTGGTTTCCATTTCTTTCGAAATCCATAGACAAGAAAATGCAACCATAACATCGTGCGAGCAATTATAAAATGAAATATGCCAAGTCGGAATTTGTACCCAAATATAGGAGTAAAATGTAAATCGAGAAAAAAATACGGAATAAACACTTGAATAATAAAGATCATCCTAAATGGGGAACTGCAAAGCGTTCAATCATATAACATGGATGGTAGCTAACAACCTAATATCTAAACCAAACTAGGTGAAGATTAACATCTGGGGGTTACTACGATCTCCAAAAAGAAATCTATTCAATGAGTCACGCTAAGTATCTTCAAAAAATGCTCCTAATGGCAACCGTTGCTCCACTCAAATCTTAGGTGCCACACCACTTAGAGATCCTGATATACACATCATTTAAGAAAAAATATTAGACTTAAAGTCTAGTGAGGTCAAACGGTTTTATAGTTAAAGTTGGAATTCATGACATTGAATATATATAAGGCTTAAACCTATAAAGAGTTCAAGCAGTTTCAACAATAAGACGATAAAGCCATTAACACGTCTTGCAACGACAGGGGAGACCCGATTTCCATTGATTGTGGCGGAATACAAAATTAAGCCACAAATCTATGTTATAGAGTTTCTATTATGGAATATTGGTCATCGAGTTCAACAACTCACGGTATGTAGTTCGAGTACTCCAATGAACTAATATATGCTCATTTACTAGAATCAAAACATCACAATTCACACGGTCTTCGAGTTCAACCACCTACGGTCTATAATTCGAGTCCTCCGGTGATTCAACACACATATCTAGATTCTGGATGGAATAACTATCTCATCTTACATAAGTGAAACGACTTCTATGCCTATGAATCCATTGCATTTACTCTAGTGCATACCATTGTTTAAAACAATTAAACTATGATCAAACACATAGTTTCCATCACATAATATCATCATTAAATTCTTAAATCCAAGATTTAACCAAA